TCTAAAGCATGGATCCTGGTGGCAAAGGCATGGAAGAACTTTGATCAGAACGGACTTTTTATGATGATTATGAGAAAAATTAATCAAAAAACTAGAATACTGAGATGAAGAAACATCGAAAAGTACTTACTTCGGTAAAGCAGCCTTTCTAGGAGGAGTTGCTCCGGGGCGATCGGTTCCATAACTAGGTACTGTTGCAGTGGTAGAATGAGGCAATGACGAGGTGGAAGACATAGATGAAAACGCATAGGGGCCGCTGAGTAAAATTACCTTAGAATTGATGGCCTCAATAACGTTTGAAAAAGCTCTGGCTACGAAAATACATTCAATGAAAAATACTGTTAAGAATGGATTTTACATGGCTCTTCCCTACTTCGAAAGAAAAAATTACTATTGAAACATGTTGTGCGTTATCACAACAGTGCTTTCCCACGTATTCATAAATCATAGCACTGTAACGCTGGAAAATTTGTCAAGCACAAAAGGTAATCAAACATGAAAAGAGTACTCAAAGCACTGAATCAACTTGCTCTTCTAAAAACCAAGTTTTGCGTCAAGCATTCTCTGATCAACCTATCTGACAAACATTACTTCTTTTCATGGAGATAGCTTTCTTTTGTCAGATCTTTCAAAGTTATTTAATTTTCGAATAATTGTAATTCCCCTTAATCCAACATTTTCATGATTCTGCTTTCGTTTGCGAGAAAATTCGGTATTCAACTATATAAAAAGCCTTCAAGGCAGTGTTCGGGCAAATTTTCGACTCTGCATTCATCTCTTCTGTACCCATTCACTATGTTGAACATGATATCAACCTCATCTACCGTAAAAGTGAAAAATAACAGAAATTCCAGCCTCTTCTGGAGCTGATTTGGAAGTTGCAGCGGCGCGATAACAATAAATGATAGTTGATCCTGAAACGATGTCATGTTTCCCTACAGAGCATTGGCTGCGAGGGAAGACCAACGGCAACAATCAGAGGGAAGTCGCTGTTTAGGCGGACTATCTAGATGTCTGCAGCGATTTTTTCGCTCATCACGGCAAATTTTCGCCTGAATTGGGTAATGACTTAGTCATAGAGTTGGGCAGCGTTATCTGATAAGATCTCAAAATCTTTACTTTTACAAAGACCCTGCCTTTACTCTCTCCCACATAACTCTTGTTTTGAAGCACCCCAAAACATACAAGTGGTAATGAGTAACCACAACTACTAAAAAGCATCATACATGTGCAGCATAGCAAAGGATCGGTAAAAAGGAAGATTTGATATGTTAAAATAAGAGACTACCGATTTAATAGATTTTTACACATCCAAATCTATTTATAAGCATAAAATCTCTTTACAGCGTTATATATTCCCAATAATTTCATAATAGTGTAGCACGCCCTATATGCACCAAGTTGAAGTTCCAAAAGGCACGCATTCAAAGTACAAAAAGGTGAGTGACTGATTATTCTTTAAGCGTTTGCACCCTGTAGCTGTTCTTCAGAGTTTGAAAGTGTTTTTGCATGTTTTTCTAAGCTATTACAGGTAAACGCACCAAACATTTTGGCAAAGCTCTCCAAAAAGGGACTTCCTTTTAGACAGTAATGTCGTTTAAGGGACCGGACAGCCCAAATGATGGGCTCAATCTAGGCAAAATCCCTCTCCGGCCAATGCGCTCTCTGCGTTCCACAAAGAATAGCATGGAATAATACGCGCACTCACTAAACAAATACTGAGGGTTACAAGGTGAAAAGAACAATAAATGATTTCGAAAAAAGCATGAACACTTTCTTGTCAGCACTCGAACGCGGCTAACCTGTCCTATCCGGCACGCAGCACAGCCATAAAAGAGGGAGAGCGATTCTTATTTGTAGTGAGGCACCTGCCCAAGTTGCAGTAACACCTCAATAATCGTAACAGTCGACCTTTTCTCTGGACTGCTTCATACTCAGGTAGAGCAAAAATCCGGAAGAATTTCTAGCATTGTTTAGAGATTAAAAATCACCTCTCGTTATAATCCATTTTCGCTTTTGATGGAATTGGACGAACATAAGTTGTGTTTTCGAGGAGAGCTTCTGGAGTCGAAGTCACTACTCTCGGGTGGTGCAAAACTTGTGATACGGCTTCCGAATCCGAACCATCTAAATTAAGATGAGTCAAAGTTGAAAATCCATGCTAGAAATCACTTATAACATTGAATTGCATCGGTATTACACCTTTATATTTTTAACAATTCACCTTCACTTTCGGATCGGTTCATCTTACGGCCAGAGAGAGTAGAGCTCCGTGTAACAGAAGACATTCTCGATGGCGATTTTGAAATAGAACGTTTAGAAGGAGGGGTGACCTTTAATGTTTTGGCTTTTATACATAATCGAGTGCATAGAGTGTGCATCACCTTTGGCTTTACAAGTGATGTGACTGATGCCTCTGGTAACCCTTGCTTCCGTAATTTTATAAGTTTCTTCTCGTATAAAGACCTTGTTGTACCACTTACTGGACCAACATTTACGTTATATTTCGTAAGCTCATTGCGAAGCTCGTTGTCAGAAAGAAGTGCAACGTCCTTCATCTGAAAAAGATAATACATTTTCGTAATGGAATCGTATGTTAAACAATTGCATATTTCAGGGAGGCGCTTATGATGTTCAAAAAATATTATCTTCGCGAAAATGGCGCTCATACTAATGATTTGTAATTGCCTGCGGATGAGCTGAACATTACACTACAGACTTTTTCAGGTCATATCATTCTAATGAATTTCTAGGTGAGGTAAACAATTGG